TTAAAGACATAAGCCTATCCATAGAAGGATTTCAAACCACACCACTCCATATAACAAAAATTAATTTTTGTTTTTCTAGCGTGAATCCCCAGAAGCAGATGAGACAGATCCAAGCTCAAGTGGTTTACTTAGGAGGTGGTCCCAGGAGACACTGGTGGTGGGGGATGGGTGACATCGGCAGGGAAGGCTGCCAGTGAAGGGTCCAGCATCAAGGTGACCACTGCGACCCACTGGGGCTCAGTCCCTGGTGCTGCCATGGTTTATACCAGCTCTAGCTGGTTATGGGAGGGGATGCTTCTAAGGGACACTAATTCCTGGCACTTCCCGCTGCTGCAGGGCAGGTGGCTTTGGTGAAAAGACGGTCCACATGGCCTGCAACGGCAAGACCCAAGGGGCTCTGATGGCCCCCCGGCACTGCTGCAGTCCACCCGTGGCAGCTTCAGACACACTCATGCCCACACTGGGCTCACATTTTGCTGTCTCTGGGTCTTCAAGGTGACACTTGCCTGCGATAATTTCTAAAAAACAATAAATAATTTCTAAACAAGAAATAATTTCTAAAAAACAGAAAGAAGTCTTAGAGCAGAAACATTCTTGGGCTGGGCGAGGCTGCGGCTATGGCAGTTGGTGCCAGGCGTGGCTGGCGTTCCTCTCCTACCCCTCGCCGCTGGCCAGGGCCTCTGCTGGTTGCTTCTCCAGTGGGATAGCACCGACCTTCACCCCCGGGGTTCTGAGCACCCTCTCCCTCCGTGTACGCCTTGCAGGTCTGTGGTGCTGCACCAATTCACAGGCCTAGAAGCACCAGAGGGTGCCCAGAGAACCCCTTAGTTCTGGACATCCACTCCCTGCTCCACTCATGGGACAGTGCACCTGTTGCTTGGTGGCAGGAGGACTCGCTCATCTGCAAGTAGGTTAGCAAGACTATCATACTGTAGGGCAAAAGAGAGATGGGCAGAAGTTTTAAAAGTTTGAATTTTGCCGACAAAAGTAAAGGCAGCGTCTGGCTTGGTCCTGGCCCTGGGAAACGCTGAGCACCTGCCCAGAGGACCCAGTGATGGTTCGACGGTGGGGCTGCAGCTGCCCATCTCACCTGGCATTGCCAGAGGCTGGGTTGGCAGAAACGGTCAGCCATCTGAAGAAGTGGTGCATTTCAGATCAGGCCACACAGGAAAGTCCCATGAGGCCTAGGTGAGAACCGGGCAGAAGACACGCGGTCCAGGCCACCTGTTGGATACCTTGGTGTGGGCAGGTCTGGGAAGCTTTTCTCCTTTTTCTTTTTCTTTTTTGAGACACTGTCTTTCTCTGTTGCCTAGGCTGGAGTGTAGTAGTGCAATCATAGCTCACTGCAGCCTTGATCTCTCAGGCTCAGACAATCCTACCTCAGCCTCCTGAGTAACTGGCACTACAAGTGTGCACCACCATGCCCAGGTAATTTTTTTTTTTAAAAGAAACTCCCTATGTTGCCCAGGTTGGTCTCAAACTCCTAGGCTCAGGTGATCCTCCTGCCTTGGCCTCCCAAAGTGCTGGGATCCCAGGCATGAGCCACCACCTGTGCCCGGCCCCTTCTCTTGTTGGTGTTTGACTATTACACATAGTGAACAGGAGAAATATACTCGGGGGCTGGTGGCATTGCCCTCCCCCTAACTCACCCCTAACCCCCACCAACAGACACAGAACAGAACCAGAGCCGGGAGGCTTATTCTCTCAATACAGGCGGATTCCAGGAGGTTTCCTTCTTTCAATGCAGGGGGATTCCGTTGTCACTTGCTGTCATCTCTGCTCAGTCCCTTGGACTTGACTCTATGCTCAGCGCCAGGCCCCCTCCCACCGGGTCCCTGCTGTGATGCGCCTGCCTGGTGAGCACCTCTCACTGGCCCTTCTCCTTGGAGGGTGCTTGTCTGCTCCTGGGGCACTTTCTTCCGTTGCTGGCCGGGATACTGCCCTCTTGGATATCAGCCTTTTTCTCCGAACAATCCATGGATGGATGCTTGTCCTTCCTTTCTGGCAGCGTTTAGAAGTTGGCTTTATATTCTCGATCTTTCAAGATCTTTCCAGGATCATTTATTTTCATCTTTCAAGTCCAAGAGCTTTCCAGGATGCGCAGTGCCTGCAATCTCACGCTCACACTCAGCGGCGTTCCTACCGCTCGAGGACATTTTACGCTATTCTTGGTCTCCTGTCCTCCACGTGTGCGCCCCGCTGCTCCTGGAACGCCCGGGATTTGCAGGGAAGGCTGCCGCGCGCCCGGCCACCCCGCAGCCCGCCCGCGGCCTCTCACTCGGCTCTGGCTGCGAGCTTCCTCTTCGCGGCGGTCTTCACCTCCTGCGCCCGGCTGCGGTCTTTGTCTCGGGCATCGTCTCTCTACATTTACCCATTTGTAAAGCACGTGTTTCCGAGCCCCGCCTGCTTCTGCGCTGCGGCCGCCGGTCCGCAGGGGGCGCTACTGCTTCGGCGCCCGCGGTGGCCTCCGTTGGCGTCCGGGCGCTCTGGTTCCGCGCTCTGGTTCCGGCTCGCTGGTTCCGGCTGTCTGGGCCGCCCGTGGGCCGCGTGCGTTTGCAGGTTCCTGGGCTCGGGTCCAGGTGCTGCAGGTGTGACCCGAGACTTCGTGGGTGCTCCGTGGACGTGCTGCTCATCTCCTGCCGAGACTCCCGGAGGAAGCCTGTCTGTTTGCAGCCTCCTTGGGGCAAGGCCGGGGTCCCCGGGCCTCAGGCTGCAGGGCATTGCCTGTGTGCCGCTGTCTGGGGCAGGGCAGGGCCGGCCAGGGGGGCCTTGTGGAATGTCACGGGGGTGGCACTGTCTTCCCGTGGGGCCTGTGGGTCTCTGTGGGTCACGCTCCCTCCAAGAAGGGGAACGGACTCACCCCTGGCGGAGTCCTGGGCCTCCGTCCGTGGCCCCCGGGAAGTCCGGCTGGGAACCGAGGTTCCCACGCCCCGCTCCTCCAGAACTCGCCCCGCCGCGGATTTGGAGCCGGGGACGTTAGTTTTGCCTCTGCTGCCATCCGCAGTATTTATTTCCGCCTCCTGTGTTTCTGTTCTCCGGTCTCCCCAGAGTCGGCTTCTTTTCTTTCCACCGCTGTAAGGAACCAGCTTCTGCCTCCGAGGAGCGTCTGTGCCTCTCCCTGTGCTGACCACCAGCTCGCACTCCTGTCTCATGCTCCCTCCGCATTTTGGTTTTGCTGTTATTTATTTATTTATTGAGGCGGAGTCTTGCTCCATCCCCCAGGCTGGAGTGCGGTGTTACCATCTCGGCTCACTGCAACCTCTGCCTCCTTTTCATTGCTGCTTGCTCCTTGTGATTGCTGAGAAGTGTTCCGTTGCACGGATGTACCACAGTTTGCCCTACTGATGGCGAAGGCGTTTGCTTCCAGTTTCTGGCAGTTATGAATGGAGCTGCTACACACATTTGTGTACAAATTTTTTTTTTTTTTTCGACACGGACTTTTGCTCTTGTTACCCAGGCTGGAGTGCAATGGCGCGATCTCGGCTCACCGCAACCTCCGCCTCCTGGGTTCAAGCAATTCTCCTGCCTCAGCCTCCTGAGTAGCTGGGATTACAGGCACACGCCACCATGCCCAGCTAATTTTTTGTATTTTTAGTAGAGACGGTTTCACCATGTTGACCATGATGGTCTCGATCTCTCGACCTCGTGATCTACCCGCCTCGGCCTCCCAAAGTGCTGGGATTACAGGCTTGAGCCACCGCGCCCGGCTCCTGTGTACAAGTTTTAACCGTAAAGATGCACGTCCTGTGTTTTCACTTCATTTGCACAAATGCCAACAAGACAAATACCTTACTGGGTCGTATGGTAAGCACGTACCCAAATTTATAAGAAATCGACCGACAGTTTTCTCAGATTGTGGCGCCATTTTGCATTCACGGCAGCGACGTGTGAGTTGCAGATGCTCCACGTGTTTGCCAGCATTTTGTACGGTGAGGTTTCCTGGAAAATAGTTTTGCCATCTATTGGGCGTCCGTACAGCGGCGTCTCCTGGTGGTCGGTGCGCGTTTCCCTGGTGGCTGGCGATGTCGCGGATCAGCCCAGGTGCCTACTTGCCGTCCGATCGTCTTCTTGGGTGAAGTGTCTGTTCAAGGATTTTATTTTCTTGTATTGAGCTGTTTTCTTTCTTAATCTTGAGGTTTGACATTTCTTTGTGTGTTCTTTTGTTGGGATATGTAATTTGCAGATACACTTTTTTCAGCGTATAGCTTTAAAAAATTCGCAGCATCTTTTGCAGAGTAGTTTTTAGTGCTGATGACGTCCAATCCATCCGTTCTCCTTGAATGAGTCGTCCTCTGGTGCTCTAGCTGAGAATTCTTTGCCTCACCCCAGTTCCTGACGGTCTCTCTTTGTTTTCTTCTGAATGTGTTGTGGGCTTACCTTCCGTGGACACCTGTGGTGGTGTGGGAGCTGGTTTTGTGTGAGGCAGGCACGTCACTTGTGTCAAGGACCGTCTGTCTGTCTGTGGCACAGCAGCTCTTCCAACCCCAGTGGGTGAAAAGACCATCCTTTCTCCATAGAATTGAGCCGGGGGTTCCATTAATAAATGACCCGTCTGTGCGGCTCTGTTTCTGAATGCTCTATCCCGTTCCATCATGTGTGTGTACAGCCCTTTCCAACACACGTACTCACACCCCTATGTATACACGTGTGGAGGAAATGATTTCCTAGCCGCCCATGGGGCTGCTGCCAGCCTCCATCCACACATTTCCTCCCACAGAGGCTGCTGGGCTGTGGACAGACACTGCCTCTACAGCCCCACAGGTGTCCCTGAGTGTCCAGGCTCCTGCCGAGAAGAGGGCAGGTGTGGAGTCTGCTTCAGGGGCTGGATGGTCAAGGGGCCTGGCAGAACACCCTGTCCTCTCAGATCCGGTAGTGGGCAGGAATCCTGCCTGTCACCCGGAGAAGGTCACCATGGACAGGGAACACTGGAGCCTTTCTCTGTGGCCCTTAGGGGCTGGGACCTGCCCACTTGTCTCTGGCCCAAAAGGGCACTGGCCCTGCCTCTCCCCACCCCCAGGATGGCAGGACACCACCCAGCTGCCCCCTCTGCAGGTAATTACAGGGTCGAGCTGACACCTACGGTGCCGCCCCCCAGGGTAATTGGTAGTGGGCGGGAGAGGCAGCACCAGGGCCTGGGAGGCACAAGGGTGCCATTGTGAGCCCGCATCACCTGCAGCCCTGGCCTCCTGCTGGGGTCAGCCCTGGGTGGCAGGGCAGATGCTTCAAGCTCAGGAGCTTCCCCAGTCCCAGGAAAGAACCTGAGACCCCTGCCTCAGAGAGCAGTGGGGCCTCAGGTCAACAAGGTGCCCTTTTGAGCCCAACTGCTGAGTCCAGCCTCTGGTGTCTGTGCCTTTCACCTTGCCTGCATGTGACATGGTGACAGCTGGAAGATGCTGGAAGGCCTGAGGTCAGTCAGACAGGGAGGCCGGAGTCACCGGAGCAATAACAGAGCCCCTCTTGGAGGGCTGGGTCCTCCCCTCATGGACCTGTGGCTGTGAGCAAGGGAACCAAGTCCTTACCCTCGGGGACTTAAATGCTGCCAGAGGAAGACAGCAACAAGCCACACAAAAGCGTGAATGGAGTTGTTCCAGAGGGCTCTCTGCTGGAGTGGGATGCACGGTGCCCCCAAAGACATGTCCACCCAGAGCCTGTGAATGTCAGCGTGTTTGGGAAAAGGATGTTTGCTGAGGGGATTGAGTTAAGGCTCTCTAGATGAAATCTGCATCCGGGTGGGCTGGAAATCAGGAGTCTTTCTAACAGAAAGGCAGAGGGAAATTTGGGACACGGAAGGTCCCATGAAGACAGAGGCAGAGATCAGAACCATGGGGCCACAGCCAAGGAATGCCTGGGGCCACCAGGAGCTGGACGAGGCAAGAAGGACCCTTCCTCCAGAGCCGTCAGAGGGAGCCGGGTCTGCCTACACCTGGAGCTCAGATCCCCGGCCTCCGAGCTCAGAGAGGTTGTGTTTCTTTTGTGCTTGGGCCCAGGGGTGGCCCATTGCAAACAAAGATGTCCTCCGGGCACTCACACAGACCCCCTACCGAAAACCAAGTGGGGATCGGGAGGAGGATGGGATGGCTTAGGGGGCTTTTCCATCCTGCCTCGGGGAGTGCTCGCTAAGGAGGCTGTAGGGAAGTTGGGCCCTGAATCACAAGACGGGACACTGCAGGACAATGCAGCGTGGAATGTCCCAGGCACAGGACGGCGGGGGCCCAGGCCACCAAAGCTGAGTTGGGAGGCCCAGGAGAAGCTGAATTGAAAACACGCCTCTCTCCAAAATCCTGAACCTTCTCCATCAACCCGCAGCTCAGATCTCCCCCGAAAGGCCTTGCAGGGGCAAGGGAGAGCCGTGGGGGTTGCTGGCAGCGTGGAGAGCGAAGCCAGCCATTTGTCCTGGAGGCTCCAAGTGCAGAAAATGTCCATTCCTGCATGTGGTCAGTGTCCTACTCCAAGCACACCAAGGTGGGAATGAGCCGTGGAGAAAGCAGGGCCTGCTGATGCCTCCAGGGCTTAATGAGTTGTTATTCAAAATGTCGACTGTCCCTGCCAGTTGGCTGCAGGTCCTGTGGGAAGGGACTGGGCGGTCCTTGTGCCAGGCTCCCCAGGGGACCCTGAGCTGAGGGCTATAAAGGGCAGCCAGGGGAGACGCCGGCACAGCCTCTCCCAGCCGCAGCAATTCGCTGGTCAGGCAGCTGTGAACGCAGACCCCGGAGATGAAGACCCTGCTCCTGGCCGTTGGCCTCATCCTGATCACTGCCCTGGAGGCCCAGGACCTCTTTGCCTCAGAGGAGCCAGATGTGAGGCTGGGCAGGTGCCCTGGACGGGTGGCCTGGGCGTGAGTGGCCTAGGCAGGTGACCAGGGCAGGTGGGTCAGGAACGAGCTGAGGCTGAGGCTGAGCCCTTCCCGCTTCATGGGGAGCACCGCGTTGTGGTCAGAGATAGATCCAATTTGGGTCCCTGGCCTGTCCCTCCCAACAGCTGTGGCCAGAGACAGCGGAAGACATGGAGCCCAAGGAATCCATTTTATGGCATCTGTCCTGCCAGGCAGAGTGAGGGGCTGAGAGGAGGGACTAGAGGAAGGGACCCGAAGCCCTGGGAGGGAGCAGGTCTCCTCAGAGGGAGTTGGGGGCGTAGGGGGCAGGAGAAGGGGCGCACCCTGGGTACTCGTGGTATGTGGCAGGGGGCAGGGTCACATGTGCAGCCTGGATGGTAGGGCAAGGACAGCAGCGGCTGCAAAGAAAACCCGTTTTCCAGATTTCAGGGACATGGTATATCAAGGCCATTGCAGCAAGAAAGGGCATCTTAGCAAAGAAGGTGTCCCCTGTCACGCTCTCATTGCTGAGCAGCGGTAACGTACAGGCCTCCTTCACGAAGAGGTGAGCATCTGCCCAGATCCACGTGCTCCCTCTGTCCCAGGCCAGTCGGGGGCCACAGAGCTGGGGTCCTTCTGCTCTCTCATTGGCGTGGAGTGCCACTAAATGTCCCCTAACTCTGGAGGGGAAGGACACCCAGGGGCGGCTCAGCTGGAAGGTGGGGGCCATGGACCCCTGGCACGGTTGGGGTTCCTATGCTGCTTCCAGGTCTGGGGTGGGGAGGTCCCGGCACGTCTCCCAAAACAGAGATGGAGGCTAGGCCACACCCCTGCGCACCTGATTTCTGCTTTCCAGGAGCAATGGTCAGTGCCACAAGATAGACATCATTCTGGAGAAAACTGGGGTACCTGGCAGATACAGAGTCTGTGAGTTCCAGGTAGGGGGTGGCAGGTGTACCCCCAGAGAGGAAGCCCTTCCTCCCCTTGTGTCTCCTACTCAGTTCCCCTCCCTGTCCTGGGGGTGGCTCTGTGCCCAGGAGGGGCAGTTGCAGAACGTGGGTCCCTACATGTGGAGATCCCAGTGCCCGGGGCACAAGGCAGTTGGTGCACCTGGGACAAGTGAGGCACCTGGCAGGCAAGGTGGGTGAGACCGGCACTGTAGGGCTGGGGGACTCACGTGCCCTTCCTCTGTGGCTCTCCACAGCTGGGGCCCTGCACTTCCTACACATGGAGGGCTCCTCTGTGAGGGACCACCGCCTGTTTTTCTCTGAATTGCAATTTGAGGGGGAAAGATTCCAAGTGGCCAAGCTCATGGGTAAGTCTCCCACAGTTCCCAGGGCCCTGCCCGCTCCATGGCTTCCTGCCCCGGCCCCACCAGCTCTGCTCTCAGAATCCACCGGAACCAGCATCAGCCCTTCTCTGGGTGTAGGTCCCGCACCTCCAGGGAAGCAGCGTTTGAGTCCACGTGTGCTGGGTTGTGTGTGCTGCCTGGAGTCCAGCCCAGCACCCTGAGCTCCGCCATGGGAATAGAGTGGGGTGGGCAGGGCAGACACAGCCCTCGGCGACACAAATCTGGGGTCTGGGATGTGGGGAGGTCACCTCATGGTGCTGACAGAGGCCTTTGTGGGGCAGGGCACCCCAGGGTGGGAGGGCAGCCCAGTGCCTCTGGCACACAGGGTCCTTCCAGGTCGGGCCCTGACCCTGCAGGTGATTTAAGGAGCTCCCGGGCCCAGCAGGGTTGCTCAGTGGCTCTCAGAGTCTCCACCACTATCCCTCTTCCCAAGGACCTGCCAGTTGGGTGGTGGCTTCTCCTGTGTCCCCGACCTCTACTCCAGAGCTCCACATCCCTCCTTGGGCCAGGCCTCTCCTGTCCCTGGCCGGCCTCTCCAGGGTGAAGCCCTGGGCATGGGTGGCAGCCGTCTCTCAAGGCATCCGCCCCCTGCAGAGGCATGCAGCCATCCCCACCTTGGCTCACCTGGCCCCTTCACCTGCAGGTAGGAATCCCGATGTCAACACAGAGGCCCTGGAAGAATTTAAGAAATTCGCTCAGCGCAAGGGATTCCTGGAAGATGACATCTTTATACCCCTGCAGACAGGTGAGGGGATGGCTCTGCCTGAGCTCCCCATGTCCCCTCCTATCTTTCTGTGATCTGGGGGTGCCCCAAGGCTTCCCACATCCCTTTCCCAGGTCCCTCACATCCTTCATGTTCCCCTGTGGGACTCCAGTCTCTCACAGGGACTCCAAGACCCTACTTTGGGTCTTAGTCATCAGGGGGTCTGAGCTCTGGACGTCTTCTCATCCCTGGGTTTTTCTTGCTCTCTGTAGAAAGCTGCAGTCCTGAACCACACTAAGGGTAAGTGACCCTTAAAGCAAACAAGAGCCCTGGGGTTTCAAGGGCATCAGCATGCACCAGGGCACCCTCAAGTTGCAGACAGGAGGGACCCCTCCCTGCTCTGAGATCCTATCTGTCCTAAAACATCAATTCCAGGACATTTATAGACTTCTTTCTTGGCCCTGTCACCTGGGTTCCCTATTTGTGTAACTTGGGAACAATGGACAGGATCTGGCCCCCACCATGCCCAGGCACCCGTGGAAGCCCTGTGGCTCCCCATTCTCTGGGCATGCTGTCACCTGGGGCTCCCCAGCCCCTCCGCATCCTGTGTGGGGCAGTAACATTGGTCCTGCTATGAGCAGAGCCAGGTGCTTTTTTTTTTTTTTTTTTTTTTTTTTTTTTTTTTTTTTTGGAGACAGCGTCTCATTCTTTTGCCCAAGCTGAAGAGCAATGGCACAATTATAGCTCACTGAAACCTTCACCTCCCAGGCTCAAGTGATCCTCCCACCTCAGCCTCCACAGCAGCTGGGACTACAGGCACGTGCCACCACACCCAGTTAATTTTTGTGTGTTTCTGTACAGATGGGGTTTCACCATGTTCCCCAGGCTGGCCTCAAACTCCCAGGCTCAAGCAATGGGCTAGCCTCTGTCTCCCGAGTGCTGGGGTTATAGGCATGAGCCACTGCCCAGCCCAGGTGCCTTCTGGTCCTGAGAAGGCCCCTTCTCCCAGGCACACCCTCACTGGCTCTCCCATGTGGACAAACTGATTGTGGGGAGACAGCAGAACCCTTCTGCTCACGCCAGCTCCGCAGTCCCCCAGAGCCCGCATGTGCCCTTCACACCACAACAGCCCCCTCCCACCGTCCCTGTCCTGGCTTCACTGATCTTCCATTCTTTTTCAGGGCAAGGGACACCTTGGCTCTTCAGAAGCCCCAGAGCAGCACCACCTGGCACCTCTGTCCTGCCTAGGGACTTGAGAAAATGCCCCCCCCAGCCCAGCCAGCTGCCCCCTACCACCACCCCCTTCCCTGTGCCCCCTCTCCTGGTTCTCCATAAAGAGCTTCAGCAGTCCCTGTGACTCTGTCTGTCTGTGGGGTCCTTGGGCAGGGGCTGGCTGGGCACTCCCTTGGGGGTCTGCTGGGTACAGGGAGTTAGTGGAAAGTGGGAGGAAGGACAGAGGACCCAGCCTCAGCCTGGTTCTCTCTGGTGGGTGCCACAGACCAACAGTATGAAGGGCCTAGTGGAGGGTGGCTGCTGGCAGCTCAGCCGAGGGTCCTGGGGTCCCTCCTGCAGGTCAGGCACCCCTCGGAGCTCAGGCTCTGGGGAGAGGGTGTGATGGAAGAGGGGTGTGAGGATGAGCTTCTGGGATCAAACTCAACAAACAGAAATGACCCCCCAGCAGAGGGCTGGCTCCAGAGGGCCCACCCACCTCCACCCACTGCTTCCTCTGGGGTCAGACTTGAGGGGCCCTGACCTCCTGCTGGGGAACACAAAGACCTGCCCTTGCTGCTAAGGACACAGACCACCACTCCTCCCCACCTGGGCAGGTTCAGAAACTACAGGTGACCTTGCCCTTTCCCTTCCAAGAAGCACAGCCCCCACCTGGCAGCGCCCCCTCCCACCTCCACCCTGCCCACATCCCAGCTGGGTGTGCCCTCCCCCTTCTCAGCCCCCAGTTCCTCCGACAGTCCTCAGGGAGCTGGCCCAGACCTGACCCGACCTCAGCAGCGCTGTCCTCCCTTAGTCTCCATCATTCCCTCAGCGATAATGCATTTGTTCTGCCTCTCCAATCCTACCACATGAGTTTTTTTCTTAATAATTTATTAAGGGAAAATTCACAGAAGATCAACATTTTAAAGTGAACAGACCAGTGGCAGTGCATTCACAGTGCTGTGCGGCCATCTAATTTATTTATTTTTGAGATGGAGCCTTGCACTGGCCCAATCTCAGCTCACGACAACCACCTCCGCCTCCTGGGTTCAAACGAGTCTCCTCCCTCAGCCTCCCAAGTAGCTGGGACTACAGGCGCACACCGCCACACCTGACTAACTTTTTGTATTTTTAATAGAGGCTGGGTTTCATCATGTTAGCCAGGGTGGTCTTGAACTCCTGACCTCAAGTGATCCTCCCACCTCGGCCTCTGAAAGTTTTGGTATTACAGGCGTGAGCCACTGCACCCAGCCTTCATGTCCCCTATCTAGTCCAGGATACACATCACTCCAGAGGAAAACCCATACCCAGGCCACTCCCCTCCCATCCCTGGCCCTGGTGGCCTCTCAGCGCCTCTCTATCTCTGTGGATTTGCCTCTTCTGTGCGTTTCCGATTGTCACCTGTGGAGGGTGTCCAGGTTCTTAGCGTTTTGAACAAAGAATTGGACAAAACACACAAAGCAAGAAAAGAAAAGCAACAAAAGCAGAGATTTATTGAAAACAAAAGTACACTTTGCAGCGTGGGAGCAGGCCCAAGGACAGGGCTCCAACAGCCTAGTTGTAGAATTTTTTGAAGTTTACCCTCTGTAGAGGTTTCCCATTGACCACTGGGTATACACCCCATCCAAATGAAGTAGTGACCTACAATCAGTCTGGTTTCAGAAAGCAACCAATCAGAGGCTGAAGTGAAGTTACAAAGGCTACTCCTGTGCAAACCTCTGATTGGTTGCGGAAAGCAATCAGAGGCTGAAGTGAAGTTACACAGGCTACACCTATGCAAACCTCTGATTGGTTGTGGAAAGCAACCAATCAGAGGCTGAAGTTACAAAAGCTACTCCTGTGCAAACCTCTGATTGGTTGTGGAAAGCAACCAATCAGAGGCTGAAGTGAATTTACAAAGTTACACTTAAGGCGAAGGAAGACTTGGCCTGCAGTCAGTCTGATAGGTTGGGGAAAGCAACCAATCACAGGCCGAAAAGAAGTTACGAAGTTACACTCCTATGCAAACGTCTGATTGGCTGTGGAGAGCTATAAATCAGAGGTACAGTTTTCCCTCAGCCAGGCAGTAACAGCGGCGGTGGGTTGCAAAGGGAGTAGCCTCTCTTTTGTTACTGTGGAAAGTTGGGGTTTTCCTTTTGATTTAGTTCTAGGAAGTGAGCATGAAAAACAAAACAAAACAAAAAACCTTGGGGAGGGATAGGAGGTGAGACTCCTGTTTCTGAGGCGCCTGGAATGGTTAGAATCTCAGCCCTATCGTTTGGAGCCCCAGGTGGATGTTGGCTGGTGTCCCTTTGCTTGTGTCTTTGATGAGTGTGCCTGACAGAGGAGGGCGTGCTGAGTGGCACCCAGACAAAGCCACTCCCTGTGGGAGAGCACAGCATCTTCCTGACTCTGGGAGCCAGGAGCTTAGTGTGGCCTTGGTTTGACATATTTCCTTTGAAAATTGGTCCCTCCCAGCCCCCGACTCATGGTGAAATTGTGGGCAAAATCCGTAGCTTCTCTAAAGCTTAGTTCCTTCAGAGGTCAAAGTCATTTTCTGGTAGAAACTTTGCATATTTTAAGTCCCTCTAAAAATGTGAGGAGGCATGCACGTAAGTTGGTTTTGAAGCAAAGAGAACACTGGTTACAGGGTCTTACCACAGGAGTTGACTTGAGCTGATTGGTGGAGATGGCATGTTGGGCAAGGGTTTAGTGCATCTGGCGAGCTGTCCTCGTGACTCCTATAGCAAGCTGCAGGCTGGAATGTCCTTGGGAAATGTTCTTGTTAAAGGCAGTTTTAGGGAAGAGCCCTTCAGGGAGCTTTTGTAATCGTTCTTATCACAGGCAGGTATGGGTGAAGGCCCTTTCTTCTTAACCTCCTGACTCTTATTTTGTCAGTTTGACACAACTGACTCCGGTTTATAATATTGACAGTGTTTACATTTCCCTCTTTTTATCAAGGTCTTCCTCCAAAAGCATCAGTGCTCAATTGTCCCGTGATTAGATTCTGATTGTCCCTTGTGGATGGGTTGGACCTTTTCCAGCTGCTCTGGTCCCACATAGCTGGGAAGTGCAGCTGGGAGTCAGTGTCAAGACCCTTTTGGCCATGTTTGAGCAACAAAGGAGTCAGAAAGAGTGGCTCTCAGGCCAAGGGAGCCTGGAATTCCTTGTAAGTTCAATTGTATCAGTTCCATAGGTGTTGGTTATCATTTCAAAGTGCAGGGCCAGCATTACTCTGTTGGGCACTGTATTTCTGCAGAAATTTAACAGACAGTAGTTACAAATTTTAAAAAACAATCATAAGGAGCAGAATTAATAGTAATATGGTAAACACGGTTTGCATCATGATTCTAAATCACGAAGCCTGTAAATAATCAGCTGAGTAAATCAAATCTCCATGGGGAATTGGGTGAGACTTGCTGTAGCCAGATTTTAGAGAAAACTAGAAGAGTTCAGGATTCAGTGCAGCCTATAGGTAGATAATCGCAACTTGAAGACAATGAACAGTCTAATCACAGGTGAAGTACAGTTTTTCTCCTGAAATAATATTTTTCTTTTGAAACATATTTTTTCTCTGTAGTTTCCTTCATCTTTACCAAAGGTAATAAGGCCGATTTGTTTGCACAAGTTTCACCTTATCAAACTTGGCCGGATTATTTACATAAATGCTGTAAGACTAGCAATTGACCATACAGGAATCTCAGATTTAAAAACCTCTTTGGGGCTAGGAAGCCAAATCAAGTCAGATTTTAGACTTCGTTTGCAGTACCTACAAGCAATTTCAAATATGACAGCCCAGTCAAAACCTTATTAATAGGACCAATGTTTCCAATTGTATCCTGTTATGTAAAGGGAGCAGATTCCTACTGAACGTATGTTTAATAACTATTTACCATAAAAATAAGAATACCCATGAATAGTTTCCAAATTGGGAGGCATCAGGTAGGAAGACATGTAACAATCTTAAATAAAAAGGTATAAACACATTATCTTCATCAGTCATTTAGTTTCATGCAGTGAGTTCTTGTTCTGCTTGATTTTGATTAGCAGTTTCATGAACCCATCAGTTTCTTCGTTAGCGTTCTGGAATTTTTTACTTAGTCTATTGATCTTAAAGTCATTAGAAACCTATATTCAAGACTACTTGTCAGAGGTTTTTTCATGCTTTCCAAGAAGGAAGAAGCGATTTTGGACTGTAACTGATTACAAATGCTTTTAAAGATTAATCAAAACTGGATAACAAAACAGAATGGCCATGGTTAAGAAATCTAATGAAATTTCATTATAACAATAATGCAACTGGCAAGAAAATTCCATCATGTCTATTGTGCATAGCATTTTAGATTAACAACCAGAATCATGACTGATGACATCACACCAGGACCATCAGATTTCTATAAATTTTGTATAATCTGTTATATCAATAACATATCCATAACCAATATTACTTTAAAAAATTTAGCATCATTTTTGTATTAGCAAGGGTTCCCTAGAGAGACAGACCTAATAGGATAGCTATATAAAGGAGTTTATTATATATTAACTTACATGACCACAAGGTCCCACAATAGGCCATCTGCAAGTTTGAGGAGTAGGAGAGCCAGTCTGAGTCTTGAAACTGAAGAATTTGGAGTCTGATGTTTGAGAGCAGGAAGCATCCTGCACAGGAGAAAGATGTAGGCTGGGAGGCTAGGCCAGTCTCTCCTTTTCACATTTTTCTGCCTGCTTTATAGTCATTGGAAGCTGATTAAACTGTGGCCACCAGATTAAGGATGGATCTGCCTTCCCCAGCCGACTGACTCAAATGTTAATCTCTTTTGGCAACACTCTCACAGACATACCCAGGATTATTACTTTGTATCCTTCAGTCCAATTGAATTGACACTTAGTATTAACCATCACAACTTTATTGTTTGACAGTGCTTTCCATACAATTTAATGTATCAAACAAGCCTAATTAGTTTAATATCACTCTTGTACAAAGTGAGAGACACATCCTTTGGGGTTTCCAGGGGCTCAACAGGGAAATCCCAAAGTCAGTTCTAGGTCAAAGAGACTTACTTGAGAATTCGATTTTTGTGAAGTTTGTCAAAAGGATGACACTGTGCTCATAACATAAAGGGCTTGACAGAAAAGAGAAAAAGGCTTTTATAGTTCCAAGAAGGATGT